AACGATATAGGGGCATTCTATGAATGACAAGCAGACAGCCAATAAGTTGTGACATCAGGGACGCAGTGGAATGGAATTAAAACCTCCCACAAATTCCTGAGACAAAAGTTGAACCTCTTATAACTTTACATGGCTTTCTATACATCTCTTTTTTGAGACACGAGTGCAACAGTCATAGTTGTCCGTCTCGAAAATGCGCAGAATGTTTCTGAATATTAGTTCTGTGTGAATGGCTTGGTTTCGGTTTTAACCTAACCAAGATTTTCTCCACATTGAGCTTCTATATTTCTCTAATATTTTGAATGAAAACCGCAGCAGCTGCGCATCTTGTGGGTTCCAAATTGATAGGCTAACAAATACAATAAAATACAACAATGATACTTACACTATCATAAGCGTCTCTTGCGCCACTGATAAGGCTCCCAGACACACACCTAAAATTTGAATGCACCGTTTTTGCATTCAAAAGTGAATTTTATTTTAAATGTGAATTCTTAAACACAGGCAGGCACAGCACTCATTTTAACATGTTTGTGTGTTGTGAATTAAATGCAATCTGTGTGATCAGCGCTTTGGCTTTTTGTATTAAGCTGCATGTACATGATGCTGTTTTGTTCATAATTGTTTATGCAATTTATTAAATCATATTTTATTTATATATGTTAGTTTAGATGTTATGCACTTTTTTATAGATTGTCATTATTACATTGCATTGAATAAACAATTTAATGGGGTGCATTATTTTGCTCATTGATCTTTTTAATTTGACATTTAATATTTTTAATGCGATGTTTACATAATTGAATAATATTTGAAGGCTACATGCTGTTTTAACATATTTATGTACTAATAGCATTAATAATGAACAATATATATTTAATATTTTTATTTTCAAATAGTTAAATAAATAAAACATATATTAAAATAAGATAGTTGCACTGGTTTTTGCGATGGTACCCTAATTTGTACAGAGAGCAGAAAAATTTATTGGTATTGGTTCCGACAACTGAAATTTTGGAACTGTTACAATAATATTCTGAAGCCAAAAAAAAAATCTGTGCCCATCATATGATTAACTACCAGTGACTTGTGCACACTCCAAATCAGGCCATAAATCTAGGCAAAAGTCATGTAGTGTATTCCAGCCTTTAGTGTCAGTGCTGGAATCTCTTAGGCTACATTTACACGACAACGATGTAGTCAAAACGATTCGCATTAACACATATCCGCGAAAACGGCCAAAAACGCTGTATTATGTATGCCAGGCCAGTAGTTGGCGCTGACACCTTGTTAGTGAATAGTAACTGTAGGGAAGTGACGATTATATGTTGTATATGATTCATCTCTGCTGTTGGTTGTAATATTGGTGAAGTAAATCCACACTTTGCTGAAGAAGCATTAACAAACTCTTGAGCAGCAACAACAGTACCATGTACTCCGCCATTGTTGTATATGTTTGTTTGTGCTTGCCTTTAAAATCGACACGTACTACGCACGCGCATGACATCACCGTTTTCAAGTATTCCCGTCTTGGGTGTTTACACGGAAACGATAATGGTGGCCTTTTAAAAAAAACTTGCACTTTGAAACCCGTTTTCAAAAATATGTGTTTTCAGTCCACAAAACGGCATTGTTGTGTAAGTGAACAGGCAAAACGCATAAAAAGTTTCTCGTTTTTGGCTAAAAACGTTGTCGTGTAAACAGCCCCTTAAACTGATCCCAAAGTATAAATGTCTGACTGAGTTGTCTGTCTCTTTGCAGGTGCACTTGACAGTCTGACCTAGCTCTGGAACAGCACAGCTTTCAGTAATTACCCCTGTCCATGTGTCGCTGTGGTTGAGTTTTTGATTCTCTTGGAGGAGGCAGAGCAGAAGTTCCTTGTTCCTGTGTGGCTGAATCCTACGGAGTAACTGTGACAGCTTTGGCTGGGGCGCACGTGGCGCCACTATGAACGTCCCCTCACTCTTCTCCTTCACCAGCCCCGCGGTCAAGCGACTGCTGGGCTGGAAGCAAGGCGACGAAGAAGAGAAGTGGGCAGAGAAGGCGGTGGATGCAAAAACGGCCAAAAACGCTGTATTATGTATGCCAGGCCAGTAGTTGGCGCTGACACCTTGTTAGTGAATAGTAACTGTAGGGAAGTGACGATTATATGTTGTATATGATTCATCTCTGCTGTTGGTTGTAATATTGGTGAAGTAAATCCACACTTTGCTGAAGAAGCATTAACAAACTCTTGAGCAGCAACAACAGTACCATGTACTCCGCCATTGTTGTATATGTTTGTTTGTGCTTGCCTTTAAAATCGACACGTACTACGCACGCGCATGACATCACCGTTTTCAAGTATTCCCGTCTTGGGTGTTTACACGGAAACGATAATGGTGGCCTTTTAAAAAAAACTTGCACTTTGAAACCCGTTTTCAAAAATATGTGTTTTCAGTCCACAAAACGGCATTGTTGTGTAAGTGAACAGGCAAAACGCATAAAAAGTTTCTCGTTTTTGGCTAAAAACGTTGTCGTGTAAACAGCCCCTTAAACTGATCCCAAAGTATAAATGTCTGACTGAGTTGTCTGTCTCTTTGCAGGTGCACTTGACAGTCTGACCTAGCTCTGGAACAGCACAGCTTTCAGTAATTACCCCTGTCCATGTGTCGCTGTGGTTGAGTTTTTGATTCTCTTGGAGGAGGCAGAGCAGAAGTTCCTTGTTCCTGTGTGGCTGAATCCTACGGAGTAACTGTGACAGCTTTGGCTGGGGCGCACGTGGCGCCACTATGAACGTCACCTCACTCTTCTCCTTCACCAGCCCCGCGGTCAAGCGACTGCTGGGCTGGAAGCAAGGCGACGAAGAAGAGAAGTGGGCAGAGAAGGCGGTGGATGCTCTGGTCAAGAAGCTGAAGAAGAAGAAGGGTGCTATGGAGGAGCTGGAGAGGGCACTCAGCTGCCCCGGTCAGCCAAGCAACTGTGTCACTATCCCCCGCTCGCTGGACGGAAGGCTCCAGGTGTCACACCGGAAAGGGCTGCCTCACGTCATCTACTGCCGTGTATGGCGTTGGCCCGACCTGCAATCACACCATGAGCTCAAGGCCCTGGAGTGTTGCGAATTCCCTTTTGGATCTAAGCAGAAAGATGTGTGCATCAATCCCTACCATTACAAGAGGGTGGACAGTCCAGGTCAGTGACTAAATATATTTGAGCCGGTTGTTCATAAGCACTACATAATAGGGCTATGCGATTTGGGGGAAAATATCAAATTGCGATTTTTTTTGACAGATATTGCGATTGCGATTTGATTTGCGATTTAAAATTTGCAAAGTCAAGCTTCAGCTCAATATTGTCAATAATGTGCAGCACAAGTATGGGTATCATTACCCTGCTGAAAAAAACAATAGAAACCATCACAGAAATTCTTATAGTTTCCATTAAACCATTACAAAATTCCTTTTTGTTTTGGGCATTATTCCAATTGTTTTGGGATTTATTCATTTTAAGTATTTTTTTCTACTGTTGTTCCATTGGTTGCCATCTGCCAGATTACATCCCACCAATAGAATCCATCAAATACTAGTCAGCATTATAGTTTACATTAAAACCAATACAGTTCCCATTATAACTCTGAAATCCATTACATTTGTTATTGTGTTTTGGGAGGGGTTCTATTGTTTTTTTTTCTTCAGCAGGCAAGATTATAATGGTATAACTACTTATACAGAATTAACTTAATTTCACAGAAAATATGTTTATTTTTTATAAATGAAGAACTGTATTTCTTAAGTCAATTATTAAAGTATTAAATGGTGGGTGTTTACGCAGTTGGCTAGAGCGGTGCTGATTGAGGAGAACGGAGGTGCGCTCACTTTTGCCCAGGGCAAGTAAGATTGCAACTCAAGGCTGGCAGTCATGCATATGCTCTAGAACGGAGTAATATCGCATCCACATCGCAGGCTTTGTGATTAGGAAATCGCTACGTCTCAAATCGCGATTTCGATTCAATTTCGATTAATCGCACAGTCCTACTACATAATAGAAGCTGATTGACCGATACGGGAGCTTTTGATATGCGATTGCAACTCAAGGCTGGCAGTCATGCATATGCTCTAGAACGGAGTAATATCGCATCCACATCGCAAGCTTTGCGATTAGGAAATCGCTACGTCTCAAATCGCGATTTCGATTCAATTTCGATTAATCGCACAGTCCTACTACATAATAGAAGCTGATTAATTCATTGTACTAGTGGTTGGGATTCATTGATTCATCCCAGTGATTTGAATCTTTTGAATCTGTTCATTCGGATTGATTCATTCGGATGAATCATTCCCATCATTAATATTTTAAAAACAGTCTACTGACACAAGTCTTAAGGCCCATTCACACCGAAGAAGATAACTATATGACTATAAAGTTTTAATAATCATTCAAATTCTATGAGAATAGGGAAGTCCACACCAGGACTATAGCTATAACAACACATAACAACAGTACCTTTGGAATCATTTTCAAACCAAGCTGATGGACGACAAATACAATGACTATGCCTACCAGCATCCACCCGACTTCGCTTTCTCGTAGTAAAGGGAATATTATCATCTGTTGCTGTGGGCAATATATTTATAGTTATTGTTCTTGGTTTGATCTTCGCTTTATTATTCTTATAATTAACGTTTGTATTTCCACAGAATCTACTTTGAGACTCTAGAAAGAGTGTTTTAGCATCATCAGCTGTTTTCCCACAAATGACAAAAGCAGATCTATAATTTCTATTAATCTCTTCCATTTTGTGAAAATGCAGACTCCTTCTAAGAAGGATTGTATTGGTTCAGTAGGTCAAACTGATGAATTGCTGCTTCACAATCATCACTCAAATGATGTTGGCTTGTGCTCATAAACAGTCATGTGCTTCAAAAGGGCAAGACTCCTGTGAACAGAAATTATGATGCATGGAAAGAAACAAGAATGATTTTTCTCTTTATAGATTTGTTCAAAAACACATAGGCCCATTCATTCACAATCTATACACAGGGTTCCCACTGTCATAGAAAACCTGGAAATATCAAAGATTTTTTAAATGCCATGATCTGTAAATGTCATTGAAATTACTAAAATGTTAAAGTCATATATTTCATCCACTATAATTTGTTCCTTGTGATTTAAATCTCTATGAAATGTTTGTAAAAAATTGTTTTCAGAAGTCATAAACAGCTGGAAAAGTCATGGATATTCATTGGCTAAAAGGTGTTGGATCCTGTAAATATCACTGAACTGGACGTTGTTTTGTTTTTAAAGCAAGGAGATTCTGTCCATTTGAATGTTTTGTTTAAAAAAGTAATATGATATCATCTTGTATGAAAATAATGTGCAGTTTTTATTTATTAATTTCTCTTCCTCTGTCAGTGAATCCCATATGGATTATATAGCCCATATGTACCTTTTTTCATGCATGTTCCTGAGTTTTCCCTTCCCATGATTCTTGCAGATGGTCTCTTTCTTTTTCTGTCCTTCCCCTTCCATATCTCTCTCTGGCCTCTGCCAGGTGCTTTTCTCGTTTGTTTGATCCAGATACCGCTTGAGAGAAAACTGTGGAGTCTTGAAACCTTCTGTGCTCTATGTGTTTGTGTGTGTCTTAATGGGAAACAAGAACATTTTCTTTGCCTCTGCTTATGGTAAAAGAATGGACTTCAAACGCACAGCCCCCTTTTTGTTGGCTAAGCAGAAGATGAGGGTCAGCTGACAACACAGAAACAGCTGTCCACAGTATGTGTGTGTGTGTGTGCACATTATGAGAGCAGGAGCAGGAAATTCCAGGCGGGGGCAGAATGAGGGCTTTGTTCAGGGTCTGTGTACACTTTTGTGTGTATGTGTGTGTGGAGGCTGAAACATATGGCTGTATAGAGGAAGAGTTTTACAGGAACTCCTGTCACCCACACAGACAATAGCAGGAAAGACTGATTGCCCGCCTTGCACACGCTTGTGTAGTGCAGGCCTGTGTATGTCTGGACACCTGTCTTCCCCCACCTCCAGAACGGCAGTACGCTCTCCACATCCATTTTCTAACAATACTCATTGCTATATCACTGAAATACATATTCTCAATCTCACTGCAAATGTCTTGACAGTCTAAAACTATAAATAAAAAGGTATGTGGGCAACAAAGGCGGAAGCACCAGTTACCACATTTTATTGCTCTACTATTTTTAGAGAGTACAGGCGTGTGTGACAACTGTGAATATGTTTCTTGGATGAGATAGGGAATTTGTATATTTTACAAAAATACTGAAAATAGTGGACGACAAAACAATACTAAAGATATACGATAATCATAAATTATTAAAGGCATAGTATACCCAAAACATTAATATTCTGTAATCATTTACTCACCCTCATGTTGTTCCAAATCTTTATGCATTTTTTTCTTCTGTGAATCATTGAAGATATTTAAAAAAAATATCTCACCGTTTTCTGACCATACAATGATGGATCTTTCATTGTATGGACACAAACAGTTGAAACATTCTTCAAAACACCTTTTTGTAAAGTCATAGAGGTTTGTAACAACATGAGGGTGAGTAAATGATGACAGAATAGTCACATTTGGGTAAACTGCTATTTTATTGTTTCTTTGATATATATTTGGTTCTCGGTGGGCAATTTTATTTTATAAATTTTTTTATTTTGCCAGTATTCTTCAAATCACTATGGCGAGTCTACAATAATGAATTCAATCAATAATGAATAATGAGGAATTTTCAGGATTTCATTCGTTCTTGTGCGTCTATATCAACTATATAGATGTTTTTCCTGAACGCGGAAGTCACGCCTGACTCTTAACTGGAAGGATGCTTTGCATTTCCGGTCTCCAGTGTTTCTAGTCAAATTAGTGTATATTCCGAGCTGATAATCCAATGTTAAACCTATTAAAATATTTAAAAAATGCACATGGCTCCATAGCGTCATCACTTTACAGTGTCGCAATGACCGTCATTAGTCAGTGCCTCACTCCTCAAAGTATAATGAGTGTGTAGATGACACAAAGCTGCCGACGTTAGCTACATTAAAAACAGATGGGCACTATTTGAATGGGTTCCTATGGAGACCGGAATAGAAGAGCATTCAATCAGGAGTTAGAATTCATAATAGCGGCACTCATCGTTTACTCAGGAAAAGGTCTATATATACAAAAGAAAGTTTGGCCACTACTGCAGGTATGCCGCTTACCTAGATTATATATTTTTTTGTTAGTATACGTCTTGTAAGATTTTCTTATTCTCAGTGATGATGGTGTACTGTAGCTTGTCAAATATGCTCTGATTTGGTGGTCACAAGGTGTATATGGCCATACTTTAATTCATATCTCATTCATTTGTCAAAGTCTGATGGATTCTCGTGTCACCTATCATTCTGATTGTTTTTGATATTTCTTCTCTCTTCCTTCAGTGCTGCCACCTGTGCTGGTGCCACGAAACAGCGAGTTCAATGCGAAACTCTCTATGCTGCCACGCTTCCGTAACCCACTCCACCAGACGGAACCCCCTATGCCTCAGAACGCCACCTTCCCTGAATCCTTTCAACAGCAGCCAGCGAACGCCCTTCCCTTCACCCCGAACTCCCCGACCAACAGCTACCCCAGCTCGCCCAACAGCGGCACAGGCAGTACAGCCACCTTGCCCCATTCACCATCCAGCTCGGACCCAGGCAGCCCTTTTCAAATGCCAGGTGAACTGCGCTTATGCTATTATTTTCACTGTCTTTACAGTAACAGTCAAGATTAGTATGATTTTTAGTGTTTTTTTTTACAGAAGTGTCTTATTCACACACCAAAGCTGCATTTATTTGATCAAAAATGCAACAAAAAGTAATATTATAAAATATTTTTATGAGTTTGACAGTTACAACTTTGTTATTGTATTTATTGTATTTTAACATGTACTTTATTTCTGTGACGCAAGGCGGAATTTTCAGCAGCCATTACTGCAGTCTTCAGTGTCATATGTTCCTTCAAAAATCAAATAATATTTAATAACATTTTTGTGGAAACAATGTTACATTCTTTCAGGATTAATCAATAGAAAGTTCAAAAGAACAGCATTTATTTCAAATATTATTTTCCAACATTATAGAAGTTATATAGTCACTTATGATCAATTGAATGCATCCTTGCTGAATAAAAGTATTAATTTCTTTCTTTCAGAAAAACAAAATGTAATTATACATTTATGTACTTATGAGATTTCAGTTCATGTTTTGAGACAAAACCATAGAGCATGGCGAAATGCCATGCATTTAATTCACAGTCATTTACATTTCAAATTTGTAAAATATAAATAGCAATTCTCTTGTATTTTGGTACAGTTGTACTTGTGTGATTACTATATTCATGTGTAATATGGTACTGAAATGACACTATAAGGTACTGCAGATAATATCAAATATGACGTTTATTTATTTATTCAGCAGACACATTGTTTGCTTATTGGGTATTGTACCTTTTAAGAAGAGAAAATGTATTTTTATGGTAAAAGACTGTTAATTAAAGATAGTAATATTATGGAACCTTTACACAGACTCTGGCATTGTACATTTAGCAGTATTAGCAGAAATATATATATTTTTTTAATTCATTTGTATTTATACCACTATACTTTGTCATTATTAACATGGAATTTAAAAGGCAAAACTAGTTAACAACACTGCTGCCATGGTGTTTCTATTGCTTCTAAGGAAGTGACTGCAAATTGGACATCTTTCTCACTTCTGACTGCTGGAATCAATCTCCCTTTTTTTCCTCTTTAGGAAAATAGTGAAAACACAATATTGATTTTTTATTTTTTTCAAATATGAATTTAAAAAGTAAGACTTGCTGTGCTTCTATAGAAATCTTCACTGCTATAGTTTACTACAGATTTTCAAACCTGGGAATGTAAAAAAAAAATATTTTAGGTATATTTATATTTTATATTTATCTTTTTATTTATGAACATCTCTTTTGTCTGTTTTTTTTTTTTGGGTTGTTGCTTCAAAAGAAACCCCTCCACCAGCTTATATGCCCCCAGAGGAGCCAATGACACAGGACTGTCCCCAGCCAATGGACACTAACCTGCTAGGTCAGAACCTGACATTGGAGCTCAACAACCATCCAGGTAAATGATAAAAACCACACCAAAATGAGACACCACACTAAGCTTCAGCCACTCCGGCAAAGATATCGCCCGTTCCTTACAGCATGATATGGGCTGCTTTAAGCTATCAGCAGCTGCCTGCCCACACTGCAGGTGCAGGAAGTCCAAACACAAACATACTCTCACACACAAATTTGCAGACAGTCTAACTTTTTGTTCTTTAAATCTGGTTAATCTTGCAGCAAAGTATGTAATAAAATCGCATTAAGTTACAGTTATACAATATCAGAAAATAATGTTGTTCTTTGAATATCGGTAAACAGTAACATTAATGATGAATTAATTTTCCATATTTTGTTCCACATCCTGCTCACTGTTATCCTCCAAACAATGTTCAGATTGAAGGTTAAGAAAATAAATTAAATGGACATACATATGCAGGCTGTGCCATACATGTGCAAAAAAGGTTTTAAATGTAAATATTACAAAAGTGTGCACAGTTTCGACATGTAAATGTAAGATAGTTTTTACATTTGTATCCAATTAAATGCGTTATGATAACTTTACAGTTACTGCTTTCATAGAAATACCATTCATTGACTAATTTGAAGATCCAGCAACAATATTTAGTCAGAATTATTGTGCTTTAGTTCTCTGCTGTGTTCTGTCTGTTTGAAACCCATGTGTGTGCTTCCACTCAGTGAAGTCTATAAAGTTTAACTGAGACTCGCTTGCTGTCAGGACAATATAACCATAAAATGTAATGTGGTGTGCTGGGAAAACATGTCTGAAACGCATTAAACAGCAAATACACCTGTCAATTGAAGCCAGTAAACTATGTGAGTACACACGTTTGCTTAAAGAGTATATAATAGCATTCTCATGTTTAGGACAACTAGGTTCATGCACCCTCTGCTATTTTTTTAGTGTGTTTTGTCTATAGACTGCATTTTGTCCATGACTGATGGAAGTTAAAGTGCACAGCGCAGAGACCAGACTAGATAATGAAATTTGTTGTTAATTATTTGTATTATCCATTCGTTATTGCAGCACTGTTGGGCTGTGAGTTAGTATTGGTTATGCCGCATTATTTACAGTTAGTCAATGATAGCAAAAGCTTGAATGAACACTGCATACATTACTGCCCTGAATTCTGTAAACACCTTTAACATGGGTTAATTACAGGTTTTACGTTCCCATTTTTATTTCTTATGCATCCTGTGTTTGGAAAAATTGTTTTAACACAATGTTTAAAACACACACATTTGTGTTCATGGCATGAAAACAGCCCTGTACTTCAGAATCAATAATTCCAATTATGCAGCACATTAAATATACAGTTTGTATGTAGTGACGCACAGGAGGCGAGGGGTGCACAGAAACAGGCGAGCTGTTGAAATATTTGTGGAAGTTGTGGTACCGTCAAAATGTTGGGATGCGCACTCAAGCTGCATCCTGTGGTGCACTCATTTCTATTGTGATAGGCTAATGGGAAAAGAGTAGACAAAACACACCTGTGGCCCAGTGTCACAGACCAGAGGAAGCTGGGTAGAAACATGCCATAGATAAACACATTACCCTCTCTTTGGGATTTGCACAGTTGTCACAGATGAACTGTGGGTATCAGAAAGAGGACATATTAACATATTGACTGGTGTTTTATGGGACTCACACCTTTGCTTGCACTGGGGTGCGATTTCATACGGACAGCTATCCCACTTGTATTATGCTGATTTGGTTGTATTTTGTTGGCCCTTGAATAGTGCAGGGTAATAACCAATCACTGCAGCCCGTTACTAAAGTGTTACCATTAATAGCCTAGCAACAGTGACCTCATATAAATACCCTAGTAAAATCGATATGCCCTCTGCTGTAAGAGATGAGATGCAAGTCTAAATCTGTTAATCATATTGCGTAATCATATTCAAAGACACAATCCAGCACTAAAGGTGCATTAATAGATACCAAAATAGCAAAAATAAAATGTTTTGGTGGTTGTGTCAACACAGTCAAAAACAAATAAAAATAATATGCTGTATGTTAACCTGTGAAATTGCCAACTTGTTTTAAAAGGTTATAAAATATTAATATTAAAAATGCTTTTTTTTTTTTACACACTTTAAAAAAAAAAAGTATTCCGCAAGGATGCATTCAATTGTTCAAACGTGATAGTAAGGTTTTATAATGTTAAAAATATTTCTATTTCAAATAAATACTGTTCTTTTGAACTTAAAGGGAATGATTTCCCTTATTATTGTGGAAAACAGAAAAACTGTTTTCCACAATAATATTAAGCAGCACAACTGTTTTCAGTAATGATACTAATAAATGTTTTTAAGCATCAAATCAGCATATTAGACTAATTTCTTAAAAATCAAGTGATACTGACGACTGGAGTAATGGCTGATAAAAATTCAGCTTTGCATCACAGGAATAAATTACATTTTAAAATATAATGACTGTTTTCACTGCATTTTTGACCAAAAGAATGCAGCCTTGGTGATTTTAAAGCGATAGTTCACCCAAAAATTTAAATGACTCATCCTCATGTTATTCCACACCTGTAAGACCTTTGTTCATCTTTGAAACACAAATTAAGATATTTTTGATAAAAGCTGAGAGCTTTCTGAACCTGACAGAATTTTAATTTTTGGGTGAACTATCCCTTTAAGAGTTACTTATATGTGACCCTGGACCACAAAACCAGTCTTAAGTCGCTGGGGTGTAGCAATAGCCAAAAAATACATTGTATGGGTCAAAATTATAGATTTTTCTTTTATGCCAAAAATCATTAGGATATTAAGTAAAGATCATGTTCCATGAAGATATTTTGTAAATTTCCTGCTGTAAATATATAAAAACTAAATTTTTTATTAGTAATATGCATTGCTAAGAACTTCATTTGGACAAATTTAAAGGTGATTTTCTCAATATTTAGATTTTTTTGCACCCTCAGATTCCAGATTTTCAAATAGTTGTATCTCGGCCAAATATGGTCATATCCTAACAAACCAAACATCAATGGAAAGCTTATTCATTCAGCTTTCATATTATGTATAAATCTCGATTTCGAAAAATTAACCCTTATGACTGGTTTTGTGGTCCATGGTCACAAATTATAATTTTCACACCATTCTACTTTGCTTTAATACAGTATGTGTATGTGTGCTTGTGCTCAACGAGTTCATAACCATCTGTGCAGATGTTCAGCCTGTGGCATATGCGGAACCCAAACACTGGTGCTCCATTGTGTACTATGAGCTGAATAATCGTGTGGGAGAGGCTTTCCAGGCCTCCTCAACCAGCGTACTGGTGGACGGCTTTACCGACCCCTCCAACAACCGTAACCGTTTCTGCCTCGGTCTGCTGTCGAATGTCAATCGCAACTCGACCATTGAGAACACTCGACGCCACATCGGAAAAGGTTTGACTGAAATGATCACTATATAAAACAGTATCTGCCTATTGTGTGTTGAATTGCACAATTATATAGCACTAAAATATGACAATGAATTGATATGATAGTAACATGATACCGAAGTGCTGTTAATAAGCTAAATATTCATAATGTAAACTCATAATCACCTTTTCATCTATTTTGCAGGAGTACATTTGTACTATGTGGGAGGAGAGGTATACGCGGAATGTTTGAGCGACAGCAGTATCTTTGTTCAAAGCCGCAACTGCAACTATCACCATGGTTTCCACCCCACCACCGTATGCAAGATTCCTAGTCGCTGCAGCCTAAAGATCTTCAACAACCAGGAGTTTGCCGAGCTCTTGGCACAGTCCGTCAATCACGGTTTTGAAGCCGTCTATGAACTCACCAAGATGTGCACCATCCGCATGAGCTTTGTAAAGGTAAGCTAGACTATATAAACAAATAATTCAAGTGATCGCTCACCCAAAAATGTACGCCTCCTGTATGCCTTTTTTTCTTCTGTAAAACACAAAAGATATTTTGAAGAATGCTTCTATCAAACACCAAATAAAAGTTTTTAGGTTTTTGAAATAAGCCAAGGCTGCATTGTATTTGATCAAAAATCCAGTAAAAAAAGAAATATTATTACAATTTTTGGGAACTGCTTTTATTTTTTATACATTTAAAAATGTAATTTATTCCATTGATGGCAATGCTAAATTTTTTAGCAGTAATTACTAAAGTTTTCAGTGTCACATGATCCTTCAGAAATATGCTTTTATTGTATGAAAAAAAAACATCTGACGCTGAAAGAAGTGCGTACAGGTTCGGAACTCTTATGTGGGTGAATTATTATATCAGAATTCCCGTTTCTGAGTTCATCTTCTCATTATGTAGCACACAGTTTCAGGAGAAACACAGCCCATCTATTGTGCACTGCACCACTGTGCTGCACGGGAGAACGTCCTCCTTTCTGTAGGTTTTTTTTCTGAAATGCCATGATTTTCATAAAACACCTTTAAAAAAAAGCAAGAGAAAAAATGCGCATGATGCCTATGCGTTTTCGGCATTTTTAGAGTAAAATAATAACCTTTTTTGTTGACTAAGTTCTAAATGGCACTAGTGATATTGTTTTGTAAAAAGTAGTTCATTTTTGATTAACTTGCGCTCAGTTTTTTTATTCATAGTGAAATCCCATCCACTGTTAAAATGTAAACATTTTTGTATTTTTTTGGAAGAAAATATATACTGTTGTTCCTTCATATCTGCACTTTCATAAGCGGCTTCTTGTCTCTGTCCCTTTTTTTGTGCTGTTCTTGCTTACTTACTATCTGAACGCAGTTTTATTCCATGAATATCAAGTCTCTACTGGAAGATTCAATAAAATTGTTTCATTACCACTGTCTTTTAGTCTCTTTATGTTTAGAAAGTTTAAAGGCAAACTAATCGGGAATTCGCCCGGTGCTCCCGATGGCCAGTCCAGGCCTGGGTGTAGGTGTGGGGGAGGGGTTATGATTAGGGGTGGGGTTGGGATTAGGCAACTGATTTTCAGCGATTTCAACGAGGGGATGCATAATCTGGCAGGGGTGCAGAATTCGGCACAGCACTATGCGGTCACATTCAAAAGCTCTCAATAGTTCCAAACAAACCAGCACTGTTAATACATTTGAATGGGTTTATTAAGCAGGATAGATGACAGCTTCACTATACAGGTATTTGCAGCAATGTTTGGTAAACATTACAGCATATTATTCGTTGATTATTACGTCGATGACATTTACAGTATCATTTTATTCAGGAGAGTGATTGGAGAGACAACAACATTAAGTTTTTCTTGTATTTAACCCTCAGGTATTCCTTACCTATAATGTGACCATACACTTTTACAATAGTTTTTTTCAGTTAAATAAATGTTCTATATTTCAGTTCAATAATATTTATTAAATATTTTGAGAAGATCTTTTGGTAAATACTATTTGTGCAATAATTATGGTCCTTTAAATGTGAAATTTAAAAAACTTAATACATTCTTTTTACATTTTTTTTATAAGTCCACAAGTGAATATTTAAAATGCTGCTAAAAAAAGGCATTCAACTGCATTCAACCAAAAGACTTCTGTTGCCTTATATGTAATGTACAGTTAAGTATTTGACATTTATTTTATTAGCAACACTCAAACAATGATATGCTTCTTAATAGTGTTAAATGCTGGTTTGATGTTTATTACACTGTAAGATTCAAAATAAATGTATTTACCTGCGCATCTAAAGATAAAATGCTTGGCACCGCTGCTGTATCTTTCAATAAAATATGTTTTCAAAAACCAGCAGCATGTTTAGAATAATTCACAGAACAGTCTATTGTGAAATGTGAGGAACCAATGAAAACATTATCTTTCAGTTGCTCAGGTGTCATTAATAATACAGTTTAGTCATGCATTTCTCATGCTCGGATCTTTAAGAGCAAATTTATTGGAGCTACAGTTTTCTTACATCCACTGGCAAAAAGCCTGTTTTGATGGTCTTACTCAACATCTTTAGTATCTTTAACATCAGCAGTATCGCGCTTTTGATCAATGGACAGTCTTCAGAACACTTGTTCCTTTTTGATTACATATGACATTGACACATGTTAAGGGGTGTATGAAGGAGAATCGTGATGTCGTTCCCTTTTTTTCAATGATTCTCTTGATCCGGGTGTTTCAGAAGGGTTTATACTATATAAGAAACGTTTAGCATGCCCTACTATCTCTACTTACTACTATGTTTATGCTGCAAATTGAGTAGTTTGCTGTTTGAACATAATTTCATTATCATTTGTAATAATTCATAAAGATTGATGCATGATGATGGATATTGGATGCTACATCAGCATCCTGTACATGGCATCTCTAAATATGTTACAATTTAGAATTAAATGCACACTGTCATTGGATGTTGGATGTGTACGGAAAGCAGCTTCTCAGTGCATTTAATGCTCTTACTGACCATGAACTTTAAACACCTATTAGATGTCATGTAACTCATTGACCACAAGAGGCTGATATTTCCTAACAAAAGCCTATTCACTGAAAAACTAAAATAAAACGGCTGATGTCGTCCAGTTTGATTGGCATGTTGTGTTTTGGACTGTTTCTGTCATTTAATTTCTCTTTGTGAGGTTTTGGCCTGATTAACAGGAAATGGGGATGTGATATTTTTTTTTAATAATGCAGCTATGTGCATGTGTTAGTTTTATTATTATAGTAATTCCTTACATTAAAAGCAGTTCCACTCAGGACCACTCAGTATTTTAAGTAATGTGCAATTTAAAATGTATTCATTTATTTGTGACAATGGTGCATTGCCATTGTTTTTCCAGGTAAATGAGTGACATGAACTTGGCAGGTGCTAGTGAGAGGAAGTGATTCCACCACAGGGTGGTGCACCTCTGACAGATTGCCAACGTCCCATTTCTTCCAAATGTGTGTTTACGTTGTGCTATAACTGTTCATACCTGCTGTGTGTTTCATGGGGCTTTACCTTAACCACAAGAAATAGAGTCTTAAGGAGAAAGCACTCTGTAAGCTACTTAACCATCTAGAATTGTGTCACAGCTGTTCTGACATAATCCACAACACTCCCACTGTTCCACTTGTATTAAGGGTACGTTCTAAATACGCCATCTCAGTCACTGCCAGAAAATGTCCACCCTTTGACCCCCACCCTGAGAATGCATATTTGAATCGAGTCACTGTCCTTTTCAGAGCTAAATTGATGGCATTTAGGCCTGTACTCTGAATTTAAATTTGGTATAATTGACACATTTTTCAGCAACTCAGCATGTACTAGATGTGTAAGAACAAACCTCATTTGTTTTTGCATGAATTCATCATATAAAATGCTGAAATGCTTGATTATTTGGATTACTTTTATAATTTATATAAAAATTTCTTTCAATGGATGGACAGAAATCCCTCAGGCTTCTTTGAAAATATTGTCACTTGTGTTTCAAAGATAAATGAAAGTCTTTTGGGTTTGGAATGACATGAGGGTGATAAACTGATTTCTATCTTTTCAAATGATAACATTTGGTCATCTTTAATCCTGAGAGTAACTTTGTCCAACTAGTCAACAATGCACTGATGCAACGATGAACGTTAGATTTCATTTAAATTTTCATTTGTGTCAGTTTGCACATTTTCTTGATGAAAAGAGACCCTTACGAATGGATAGTGGCATTGGCCGAGTTCCATTTCAGAGGCTGAACAACCAGATTCATAATCGTTGTGTCTTGTATGAGTATCAAGCAAGCTCTTAAGGATCTCCATCTCAAATATGTCTTAGAGAGCATTTACACTGATCAAAACAGAAATCTGATAAGTAAAAACACATGAAGTGACCAGGTGTAAATACTCCTTTTATGTAGCTGTCATGAATGTTTTCTGGCTCTGTTTCTGAAGGTTTCAGGAAGGTTTATAACTCTTCTCCTGACCGCATTCCTCACCCCTGTACATTATAGAACATAAAAGTAAATTCAACATCAGAAAAACATACCGTTATAGATTAGTTTCAAAATCTTTCCTACTCTTGCAGGATAATCCTTGCGGCAGGGTGCTCTGTGAACATATCTTACATCATTACAGCCTTCATATTCTGTTTGCCCACTCCTGTAGTTCCAGAGGTCTGTGCCTTCTTGGAGCTTTAAAAGATGATAAGCCCAATGGATTTCAAGCTTTTCAATATACAATTTTAGCTTTTATAATACACAAATTTATACTTTTATAATATATAAAAGCTATTTATATTAAGATTAAAATATTAAGACAACTTTTCCAAAAGCTGAACTTCTCTTTTCACGTTTCTGTGCCACACACATTGTAACAGTTTTTCGACACAGTAATTAATACGATAGTTGAATCTTCCCAGAAGACCATATGAAATTTACAGTATGAGGACTTACAGTAGGTTTCAATACAAGAACTGCAGTCCAGACCTGACCCATATAGGGATAAATCCATATTTAGGCACTGTAATAAACCTTTGATGCCACAAAACGTGAGAAAAAATGAAATCAGTCTGTTCACATCTGTCTTTTCGAAGAGAATGGCTTGGTATTTTGATGTTATTATGGCGGAACCTGCATAAATGGCAGAAAATTATTCAATAGGCTGTGATTTTTGAAGTATTCTTTCATTTAAAAAAAATCAATTACCTCAATATTACCTAATTAATTACCTAAGCATGTAATTTCCATATTTGTTGGTCAAAGAGAGTCAAATTGACCCATATGAATTTTTGATAAATAAAAAATGATTCAATTTTAATGTATACACACACACACACACACAGCTGTTGGATAATGTTGGTTTGTATCTGTCGATTTCATATTTTGTGTAGAAAAAAGAAAGGATCAATATGATGTATTCGCTACAGAATTTACAAAAAATTCTTTCATATAAAATACGTC